GTCACATTGGGTTTAGGGTTTAGGGTTTAGGGTTTAAGGTCGTCTCTCTCTGAAGCAGGGGCCCTCCATAGAGGCCCCCGAGGCTCCAGACCCGTGTATTTCGGGCGGTACCACTGGGGAGAGGGGGGGGGGGGGCAGGACGCACAGCGCACACGTACATACATACATACATACATACATACATACATACATACATACATACATACATACATACATACATACATATATATATATATAGATGTACACAGACATGTACATACATATACACATGTATAATAACCGTATGTTTGAATGCAGGGGCCTTAACAAGCAGAACAGTGCACCAGGAGTCGCCGGGAGGAAAGGGCGTCGTCCAACATTCAATCTTTCAGGACGAAGGCGCCAAAGTCCTCTGTCCGAACAGAAGAATAGTAGATTGGGTAGATATCTAAGTTAAGGCCTTTGAGGGTCCTTTTTGTGACGGTGCCGCCTTCTGTTGGGTTCCTAAAAAGGAACCCCTAATCCAGAGAACTATGCATGTGCTTAACACAGGCTCCCTAATGCTCCACACCTCCCCTGAGACCCTTCGGCGAAAAGCCCTAGGTTGGAGAGCACCTTGCAAGGTCTTCAGGAAGATCAGGCGCCGCTTCTCTTGTTGTATCTGCAATGACTAATGTAGGAGCCTTAATAATTACCTATACTATTTTTTTTTTTGGGGGGGGGTCCTTATTCTCATTATAGTAAAACATCTCCCGAACCCTATTCTAATCATTAAGGCCCCTATATGAACTGTTCTTGTAAGATGTGTAACATATGTTTGTCTATAGTCGAAGAGTTTCGGCCTCTGCGTGGTGGCTTTTGGAACTTTCCCTTGGGCTGGTGTTCTTGTTTTATAGTTTAGAGAGTTGGGGGATTAGGGGATTAGCATTTAATTTAGGGTTCAGCTTTTTTATTTTGGGCTTCAGTGTTTTGATGCCTTTTTGCGCTGGAGTTCTGGGTTCGGGGGACAAGTTCCTGAAATCTGGTTTGGCTTGGGCATTAGGAAGTTTGGGAATGAGAGTTTAGTTCTTTCACGCTTAAGAGAAGGGGATCTGGAGGGGCATCGTGTTCCAGGGTTGAGAGATTGAGGCTGTTAGATTTTCCCGGTTTGTCAAGAGAGATGTTGACTTCTTCTGGAGGTAGGACGTCGCCAGTGCAGAGACGGTCTTAGCAACTTTGGGCACGGACACAAGATATCAGATAAATGTTTTTGGAATTTTGCTCGTTGACCAGATTAGGGGACAGATGCCGTTAAACCTTACATGACACGGCTCTTGCGGGCCATTTTCGTACACTGCACACGTTTCGATCCTTGGGCACATGTTGATGATACGGCGAGGCCACGGTAGAAGATGTCGCCCACCTGTTGCAGCACACAGCCAAGTGCTTCGTTCTGTAGAATGCACCTAGCGTGCGCGGACCGACGAATCTGCTCACCGGATGCTGTACTTGTCAGTCTGTAGTGCAGGGGCCTGAACAGCCAGAATGCACGGAGCTGAGCAGGAGTACCCTTAAGCTTCTTTGAATTTAGTCATGTCTCTAATTTTCCCTGCGATGGTCTGTCGCCAAGGAGGGGGGGGGGGTGAGCTGGATGGTCGCATATATGTGAGTGTGTGTGTGTGTATATATATATATATATGCACTTATATTTTGTGTGTGTGTGCGCGTGCCACATGCATGCTGGCTTGACAGGAAGTTCGGACATCTCGGGCGCCGTGCCATGTTTGCAGCAAGTCTTGGGTTTAGGATGCTAGCACCCTAAACCCTACACCTCTATACCCAAAGCCGGACCGATTTAGTGTAGCAGCTGCAATAGGATTCGTGACGCTTGCTTCTGCCGTGTTGGTAGCCGCGGTCTGCCGGCACATCGACCCGCACCTTAAACTCCCCGAGAACGAGAACTGAAGCTCCTGAAACTCCGGAAACCCTAAACTCCCTCGCCCATAATTTGATGTATTCGCGCAGACGGAGATGATTTTTAAAGCAAGAAAGCCATACCGAAACAAGCTTGGCAGACTCCGAGGGTGGACGTTTGCTTCGACTCCTTGGCCGCGAGGCTGGGTTTTGGCTTTTGGGTTTGAGGGGTGTGGGGTTTGACGTTTAGGGTTTAGGGCTGGATTTCCCACTTGTGTGTGGTGATGTGCGGTCGATCTAGCCTCGGCACCGTAGGTTAGAGTCCGAACCCTGAAGACCTACCCCGAAACTGGACCGAAGAGCAGCAACAAAAGATGAGTCTAAAGTTTCCCCGAGGCTTGTATAGCATCAAACCCTATGTCTAGCCTTTTTGGGCCCCTGAAGCCCACCTCTTGTGCTCTGGGAGGCTGCAAGCCGTCGAGCGAAGCCAGGAACTTCGGAAGCATTTTGTGGGGGCAGGGTGCAGCCGTTTAAGGCTCGAGGGTTAGGCAGACGATGGCGATGATGACGATCATGATTGCGATTCATACGCCAACAATGATGAAGGGGAACAGATGACAATGACAATGACGACGCAGATGCGTTGCGCATGAGTTCTAAGTACGAAGGTTCTGTGACTGGTGATGCTGCTCGCAATGGTGATATTGCAGACTCAGACGGTTGCGACGGTGATAAAGCAATGCCAGTGACTTGCTCAGGATGTTTCATGATCATGCACATCATGACGGTTGTAATAAGATTTGCAACCAGATTGACTCCCGAATGTGTCTACTGCTTCCCAGTGCGTCTCAAGACAGCCGCTGCGTGAGACATTCCATCAAGTTATCGTTTCGTTAAGGGCTCTTGCTTCTGGTTTTACTCTGCTGGCTGGCTGTTGCTATAGTTGCTGGGGGTTGAAAGTTGACGCATTGATCAATATACATCCCTGTGGACTGAAATTCTTATCGGATGTTGCACCATCACAAGTCATTGCGACACGCTTCCTGGACGTGCGTCCAGCGAATAAGATCCAAGCCTAATCAATGATGCAGAATGCATTATCGTGGCAGCAATGCTGTGGTCTTTTCGTAATACGACCTGTCAAATAGCCATGCCATTTAACTTACTTGGCCTAGGCAGCCCTGGCCGCCGGTGCGCAGCGCGCTCTGAGATTGGCCCCTGAGCCTGAACTCCGTGACCTTGTTCAGGCTTCAAGGCTCATGGTTTACCCTAACACCCCAGGTACCTACTACATAGGGCCCAAGGGGCTATATATAGTACCTATATAGTAGGTACCCGGGGGGGTCGGGTTAGTTTGGGTTGTGTTTTGGGGTTTACGGGTTTGGGGCGAAATTCGGGGTAATGCGGATAGGCCCCCAGCCCCGCGCCCTGCTTCGCGGCTAAGGCCCTTGTCCTGACACTGGGGGTGTGTGGTGTTGGAGTCTTCGACTTGGGTCATAGCCATGACCGAATTTTCACGAACCCTAAACCCCACAACCTAAACTCCTAAACCCTAAACCCCAAACCCTAAACTCTAAATTCTAAACCCCAAATGCCTAAACCCCAGACCCAAAACCCTCAGACCTAAATCCGATGTGTTGCAGGTTTTGGAGCTCCTTGGGCTGAAGGTCTTGTTTTCAAGCGACAGCAACCGCAATCCCAGGAAGCCTTGCCCGAAGCTTTAAACCCTCGAAGCTCAAAACCCCAAGCCCTAAAGTCCCTAAACCCTAAACCTTAAACCCTAAACCCTAAGCCCTAAAAGCAGCTCTAAGACCGTAGCCTCTGAGGCCCTGAAGACAGCGGAGGCGCAGAAGGTTTTCTGCGAAAGCCAAAATGAGGCGCCCGGGCCTCAGACTCAGCGATGTAGGGTTTAGGGTTTAGGGTTTAGGGTTTAGGGGGTGTTATGAGCAATTAGCAGAGATATCGCCGTGGTTCTGGGTTTTTCAAAAGGTTTTCTAAGTTTATAAGGGTAGTAGCCCAAAATATTATTGATCTGGCACGCTCCAGTGCAATAGGCAGGTCTGAATAACTTGTATCATCTTGTATCCAAACCCCTTAGAATCTCCGTACTGCCTACTTCATATTGCAATGTACGGTCTCGCAAAGTCTTATTCTAAAGATTGATGCACCCTTACCTTGTGTTGGGCAGCTTCAATTCATGTCCACCCAGGCACGGCCGCTGCGTGCATGAGGCGGCGCAGAGCACCACGCGGCTCCAGGTGAGCAATCCGGAGCTGCAAGTACTGAGTGTGGGAGTCTTCATAAAATTAGTAGGCTTTACCACAAGGATCTTGTGAAGCAGTTATATACAGGTGTATGTATATATATATATATGTATATATATATATATACAGATATGTATGTATGTATGTGTGTGTATGTATGTATTCATGTATGTATATACATATATACATACGTATATTCATATATATATATATACACACACACATTATTTATATACATATATCTATATATGTGTAACGTATATCTATATATATATATATACACATGTACATATCCACACACTCCCGCAAAGGATCCTGAAGACTTGCCACAACTCCGTGAACTTAGGCTAGCGCTGCAGGGTGTCGGGTTAGATTCAGGTTTAGGGTTTAGGGGTTAGGATTTCAATCCTCCATCGACCACTTCCTTCAAGTTGGTTCCACTGCTTGAGACCCCTGTCGAAGTGACTTAAACACCCTACAAGTTTCCATAGGACATCCTCAGCGGCCTGAAACACTAAGCCGCAAACCTAAGCACCAAAGCCTCGGATACACATTAACCTATACATCGCCGCAGTAAGCCTAACGGAGATGCTGTCCGACGGACTGAGTATCCTGGAAGACATCAGCTTCACGCCTTGTCAGCCTTGGGTTTTGGGATTGTGGTAGTTCAAGCCCGCCGGCTACACAGGTACCTCGAGGCTGTCGGTGAATCCATACCACTGAAACATTTGCCCGCCCCAATAGACCCCCGCACTTCAAACCTAGACCCCAAGGCAAAGCCTTAAGACACTGCCCAAAACCCTTGAACCTTTAGTCACAAAAGTTCCAAAACGGCAAGCTTTAAATCGCACCCAAGGCCCTGCATCCTGAAACCGCAAAGAGCCCAAAACCTCAAGCCTTAAATGCTAAGCGCCGTAAACACTAAGCCTTAAGCCGCAAGCTCAATTGCAGCCCTTAGCCCTAGACCCTGAGCCCTACACGCTAAGCCTTAAGCCCGAGTCCCAAAACCAATAACCCTAAGCCCCAAAACCCTAAACCCTCAACCCTAAGCCTGAGCTCAAACGTCTTTGAAAAAAGGCCCTCGAGCGATCTCTTGTCGAAGTGGAGGCAGCGATCCGGTAGGGCCTAGGGTTTAGGGTTTGGGATTTTGTCCTCAAGGTTTAGGGTTTAGGGCTTGGGAGTTTGTCCTTAAGGTTTAGGGTTTAGGGCTTGGGATTTTGATTCGAAGGTTTAGGGTTTAGGGCTTGGGATTTTGATCTTAAGGTCTAGGGTTTCGGGTTTGGGATTCTGTCCTTAAGGTTTAGGGTTTAGGGTTTGGGATTTTGATCTTAAGGTCTAGGGTTTATGGTTTGGGATTTTGTCCTTAAGGTTTGGGGTTTAGGGCTTGGGATTTTGTCCTTAAGGTTTAGGGTTTAGGG